CCTCCTGACCCCGTGTCTTACGATGCTTTGCCGTCTTGAAATCACCTCCAGTGGGTAGTATTCTCCCTCTCCCACAGAAACTGAGCTCCGCGTCTGAGCCACAGACCTGCAGGGACCCAGCCCCCCTGCCTGTGCCAACAGCTGACCAGCTGCATGGATGGGGCGCCCAGACTGGCCCTCCCCTCCAAGCTGGGCCCCCTGCCTCCCCACTCAGGCTCAGTGCCCACCAGGAAGAGTGTTCAGGGGCCTCTAAGAACCATGCCCCCTACGTGTGAGGTTGATCCAAATGGGGTGGGAGGGTTTTTCAGGGCCTCTCCGAGCCTGTTCCTCTGCTTCTGTTTGTGTGTGTGTGTGGGGGGGGTGTCAGTGCATGGCCCTGGGGTCCCATCCAGCTTAGACATCTGGTTCTACACACAAGCTTATCTACCACAAGGCAGAGTGCAGGGCTGGCTCACCCCACAACCCCACCATTTCTCCACCCTCTTCCAGGACCCCAAAACATTAACAAAGCCTGTTCCTCTGATCACAGTCTGCCTGGGTCTGGTAGGAAGGGCCTGATTTGCATCTCAAGCCCCTCTCCCAATCTTAGTGTGTGCTCAGTTGCCATAGCAACTGGTCCCCAAAGATTCTACTTTGCAGTCACCTCCCCTTTGTACTGCTGCAATGCTGGCTGCTCACCCAGGTTCTGAGGGCTCAGAGCTCCAACCTCCATTTTACAGAGGAAGAAACTAAGGCCCAGAGAGGGAAAGCAACTTGCCCAAGGGCACACAGCGAGCTAGCGGCAGAGCCTCACCCAGAATCTAGATCTCCTGATTCCAACTCCAGGGTCGGGGAGGGCAAATGGGGGTCTGTTCCCTACTCCATGACAAGCGGGCGGCATCCGTGCCCTCCTCTGGCCTCTGGGGAGGACTGTGGGCAGCCACCGTGAAGAAATGACCGTTGGGCTTTGGGCAGACTCAGACAACTGAGCCCTGGGCCAGTGCAGGGGGAGATAGATAAGATGGGTCCTTCTAGGTCTCCAGCTCCTCCCCATTCGTTCATTCAACAAACCCCTCTCATATGCCCACTGTGTACCAGGTACTGTCCCAGGCCCTGGGGATCCAACTGTGATAAAACAGGCAGACACCCAGCCCTGGTGGCTGGCATTCTGGCAGGAGGATGAAGATAATGAATGAGGTCTGGGGCTGAGTGGTATTCAGAAAGTGGTGGGGGCAGGGGACCGGCTTGCTTCTTGAACTAAGGTAACCTCCAAGTTCTTTCAAAGTCAGATCTTTCAAAACTTACCTGCCCCGTCTCACGCCTTGAGGATCCCAGGCAGTGCTGGTGTCTTGACACCTAACTCCAGTAGGCTGCAAGCGGGTGGGCGTGTTTGCTGATGGAGAGTGTGCCTGTGCCTCGGCCTGGACCCCAGGCAGTCACCAGGCGGTAGGCAGGGTGGTAGGCAACAGAGATGGCATTGCAAGGTGTTCGGGGCAGCACAATGCGGGCAGCTGCCTGCCTGTTCCCAGCAGGCCCGCAGGCTCGGAGGGTCTCATTGCAGATGCCTAGGGTCACCACCGGCACCCAGCCCTACTGCAGTCAGTTCCTGGTGCACAGACACAGCCCTTCTCCTCGGAGTCAGAAGCATCAAGTCACAGGGACCCCTGAGAGCGGCACCGGGTGCCGGGCTCGGGCAGACCCCTTCCTGGCAGGGGTTCCTATCTAACCAGTTATTATGGCAATTTTCAAACACGTGTCACGGTACCACCGCACAGGGACTCCCAGGAGGCCGTGCACAGCTCCAGAATCGCCACGGGAACACTCTGCAGCCAACTGGGGCTGAAAGGAGCTCGTCCCACCAAGCCTGGGCGCGAGGGCCCAGAGGGCGGGCGGGAGTCGCCAGGAGAGGGTCTTGGGCAGAAGGGCCCTGAGGTTCCGGAGGCCCCGAGCAGCTGCCCCAGAGCGGCTCATGGTTCCTCCTCTCCCTGCTTTCTGTCCCCTCTCCCCTCACTCGCAATAAAAACATAATTACCGGCTTTCTTTTTAGAAAAGGGCAAATTACGGTGACATGTTTTAATTATCTGCCGAGCAATGGCGGGCTGAATTACACAGGCAGGGCCTCGGGGTTACCTAAAAATAAAGCAAGGAGCCTCATTAACGCTATTATAATTGCTGCTCTAGCCGCCGGAGTGAGATGTCGGCGTGTGTGCCGTTCCATGCCGCGGGGTCTTCGGGAGGTCCAGGCCAGTGAGGCTCAGAGGCCGGGCCTGTCCTCTGGGACAGCGGGCAGCGCCGGCCGGCGGGACGGCAAGACAGGAGAGCCCCATGTGCGCTCGCTGCTCAGTGGGCAGGCAGAGACCAGGCTGGGAGGGTGCAGAGCGGGATCCAATGAGAGCACCAAAACCAAGGGCCTTCCTCTGGCTGGAGGGGCCACACAGCCCCTGAGAGCTCAGCATCCTCCTGTGGCTGGTGGAAGCACAGCGGGCCCTGGGAGCACAGCAGGCCCTGGGAGCACAGCGGGTGGGAGCACAGCGGGCCCTGGGAGCACAGCGGGCCCTGGGAGCACAGGGGGCCCTGGGAGCACAGCGGGTTCTGGAAGCACAGGGGGCCCTGGGAGCACTGCGGGCCCTGGGAGCACAGCGGGCCCTGGGAGCACAGCGGGCCCTGGGAGCACAGGGGGCCCTGGGAGCACAGGGGGCCCTGGGAGCACAGCGGGTTCTGGAAGCACAGGGGGCCCTGGGAGCACAGCGGGCTCTGGGAGCACAGTGGGTGGGAGCACAGCGGGCCCTGGGAGCACGGCGGGCCCTGGGAGCACTGCGGGCCCTGGGAGCACAGCGGGCCCTGGGAGCACAGCGGGCCCTGGGAGCACGGAGGGTTCTGGGAGCACAGCGGGCCCTGGGAGCACGGAGGGTTCTGGGAGCACAGGGGGCCCTGGGAGCACAGCGGGCCCTGGGAGCACAGCGGGTCCTGGAAGCACAGGGGGCCCTGGGAGCACAGCGGGTCCTGGGAACACAGCCTGCCCTGAGAGCATAGCGGGTCCTGGGAGCACAGCGGGCCCTGGGAGCACAGGGGGCCCTGGGAGCACAGGGGGCCCTGGGAGCACAGCGGGCCCTGGGAGCACTGCGGGCCCTGGGAGCACAGCGGGTGGGAGCACAGCGGGCCCTGGGAGCACGGAGGGTTCTGGGAGCACGGAGGGTTCTGGGAGCACAGCGGGCCCTGGGAGCGCAGCGGGCCCTGGGAGCACTGCGGGCCCTAGGAGCACTGCGGGCTCTGGGAGCATAGCGGGTTCTGGGAGCTGGGAGGGTTCTGGGAGCACAGGGAGCCCTGGGAGCACTGCAGGCCCTGGGAGCACAGCGGGCCCTGGGAGCACAGCGGGTTCTGGGAGCACTGCGGGCCCTGGGAGCACAGGGGGGCCTGGGAGCACAGCGGGTGGGAGCACAGTGGGCCCTGGGAGCACTGCGGGCCCTAGGAGCACTGCAGGCTCCGGGAGCACAGCGGGCTCTGGGAGCACAGTGTGCCTCCCCAGCAGACTGGATGCCCCCGCCCCACCTGCACCCCTGAGCCCCGGGCTGACTAAGCCAGTTTCAGGGATTCCCACTGACCTAAGCCCTCCAGGCGCCCACCTGCTCAACCGGCCTCCTCCTTGGTCCCCCACGGGCCCCCCCTGAGTGCTGGGGGGAGGGGAAGGGACAGCACCCTTGGGAAGGTGACTCTCCCCGGAACCTAGATGGAGCCTCACAGACGTGGGAAAGTCCTGGGCTGAGCGAGCATCAAACCCTGTTCCAGGCCAGGTCTGCAGCCTCGCCCGGTGCCCGGTGCCCCTGCGAGGCACTCACCTTGCCAGGGAAGTGAGCCTGGGAGGGGAGGTGCGGGCTGGGGGGTGTCAGGGAATCCCCAAGGGAGAGCTGGCCGCACTCCCCTTGTACACACACACACACGCACACGCACACGCACAGGCGCACGGGCGCACAAACACTGCAGAATGGCCCGGGAGCTTCTGGTAAACGGCCTTGGCCTAACAACCTAGTTTTGATGATTAGCCTGGAACATGGGTAGGACCTACCTGGACCTGAGGTCCGTCCTGCAAAAGCAAGGCGAGCAGTGAGACCCGCCTCCCCTCCCCTCGCACCAGCATCTCCGAGTGAACACACGGCCGCTCCTGCGCGCAGGCGTGCTCACACGTGTCCGGCCTCCCCCAGGAGAAGGCTTCCTCCGAGGGCACCTGGCACAGCTCAGTGCTGCCCCCTCGCCTCCACACACACCTTCACACCCAGGCCCTGCCTGACTCCTGCCCAGGGGCCCCCAGGCCTCGGCCACAGCGCCCACACCCCCTCAGCTTAGGAGGCGGCTGGTGGGGAGTCAGCCCGGCAGCCTGGCTCCAGCTGCTGCCTGTGGCCTCGCTGTGCCACTGGCTCTAAGATTCAGCCCCTGCAGAGCCCGCCCGAGGCCACACCCTGCCCCCTCCCTCCCAGCCTGCAGGGAGGCCAGGCTGTGACACACACTCATGTCCACTTGGGCCTAAACAGAGAAACAAGCATGCATGTGAGGTGGCAGGAACACACACACACACACATGCAGCCAGAACAGACTCATGTGTGCACACCTGTGCTGCCCACCTGGCCCACCTGGCCCCACCCATCATCTTGGAACCTGTGGCCTGAAGACAGGACAAGCAGGAGGGGAGGACTGTGGCTGCTGGGAGCCCCGGGGAGCCAAATGCTCAGGGGAGAGCTCCCTGGGAGGAGAGGGGGGCTCAGGTATGGGGTGGGGCTGGGAGCGGACAGGAACAGAGCCTCCCCCTTACCAGCAGGGCTGACTTCTGGAATCTTCCTCAATGCCCTGGCCCCTCCCTGCCCAAAGCCTCCCCACACCCCTACTCGATGCAGCCCAGGGAGCAGCCTCCAGGGCCCAAGCCTCGTCTTCATCATCCAGTTGCCCCTTCCCGCTGCCCCCGGCCCCCGGCCCCCGGCCCCTGGCCCCCAGCTGAGGGCTGAGGACCTCCAGTGGACATGGAGCCAGGGTGCAAAACCATGTGTTTATTTTTATTAGAAATGTTCTCGGTATAAAAAACAATCATGCGCTACACATTGTCATCAAGAACCATCACCAGACACCCAGGCACTGAACTCCGTGTCATCGGCAGGAGGGGCAGGCGGGCAGGCGGGCGGGCCACGCAGCGGACGCGGGGGCAGGCGGGCGGGCTGCGGGCCACGGGACACACAGAGGCCACCAGGAGACGCAGCACTTTGCAACACACTCGGGGCTGGGTTTTGTTTGGCTTTTTTGTGTTTTGATTTTTTTTTTTCCTTTTTTCTCTTTTGTGACATGGAAGACTTAGTGATGAGAGAAGGTGGCAGGGAGGCGAGAGCAGAGGCAGGTCATAAGTGCAGGAGGGGGGGACAGGCAAGAAAAATGCACGGGAGGAGAGACCCGGAGGAGCACAGGAGAGAAACGGGAGACAGCTGGAGACGCGCTCATGAGCGAGACGCAGAGGCGGAGGAAGAGACGGAGAAGCAGAGCGCACAGATGGAGACAGACGCAGAGATGAGAAAATAAAGAGGATGGAGACAGACGCAGAAGGTCGCCCATGGGACAGGCAGGGACAGAGGGACCGCACGGGGCCCACGTAACCGAGCCCCTGTGATTTGGGGCCAGGAGGGGCCCTGGGCCAAGACGCAGGCTCTCGGAGTGGCAGAAGCTGCCCGCCCCTGCTCCTCCTCCTGGCGCCCACCCGGCTTGCCCAGGCCACCCAGCAGCGACCACTGGGGCTCTGTGTCCTCAGCACCAAGCCACATCCGCGGGTGTCCACGGGCAGGCAGGACATCAGCTGGGCCCCGGGAGTGGCCCCGGCTCGACGCACCATCACGAGGGTCTCGGCTCCTCCTCCTCCGGTTCGGCTCTGGCTGCCTCGCTAGATTGCGTGGTTGGTGTAGGTGACGTAGGTCTGTTTGGTGGCCAGCACTGGAGGGAGAGACGGGGTAGCCAGGAGTCAGAGGCTAGCTTCTCCACACACCCCCGTGCCCACACTGCCCGCCGGGGCATCAGGTCCAGGCCCCAGAGCAGAGTGGTCCGCCTTCGCCAGCCTGTCACCAACTAACTCCCTGCCCTGGGCCGCCTCAGCTCCTCCTCCACCGTCACACCTCAGCTTGGCTGGGCTTCCTGCTGGGAGCGCCCCCTCTCCACCTATTGCTCTAGATGTGACTCCCCTTGCAGTGCTCCCTCCCACCCTCCACCCCCCAACCCCCGTGAGGATCTCCCAGGAGCCCCTGCCACCTCCGGGCTCCACCACACTTTAAAAGAATCACTTTTATCTGTGATATAAATGTATATTTTTAAAGCTCCATTGACCCTTAACACGTGTTTGAACTTGAGGGTCCGCTAATATTCCGTTGGCTTTCTTGTTTTTGTCTAGTTTTGTCTGGAGTAAATGCTACGGTGTTTTCAATCCGCGGTTGGGAGTCTGGGAAACTGGGTGCATGCACTGGTCCTCGGCAGTTTACGTGGGCGGAGCATCTGCGGGGCTGGTTCCCACGGAGGCCCTGGACCAAGCCCCCGAGGACCCCCAGGGACAACTTAAGTTTTGGGGGTCAAAGTGATATGGATATTTTTCGACTGCATGGGCGTTGGCACCCCAAAGCCCCCCGATATTCCAAGGTTGACCACATTATCAAGGGAGGTTTATCAGAAGCCCATTCTGGAAGAGCCCAGGCCAAGAATACACAGGGGCTGGCGGCCTATGGGAAGCAAGTGGGGACGGGACAGAGGAGAGAAATAATGGGACCAGACAGGGCCTTGCTAAGCGAGACACTGAGGCCTCTGACTGACTGGGCCTCTCCCCGTGGACGAGAGAAGCGGGAGTTCTTAGGTCTCCTCCCTGTAGCCACCTCCCATTTCTGGGTGCCCTGTCCTGCCTCAGCCTTGGCCTCCCTTATCTGCACCCATCACGCTGGCCCTCGCTCACCCTCCCCTGGGCCCCAGAGGGAGCCCCATATCTGGGCAGCTCCCATTTCCTGGCCACAGCCTTCACGGGTGACATCAGCTGTCACCTCACCGCAGCCCAGTGAGGAACTGAGGCCTGAGGGGTGGGCTGGCCAGGTCCTTGGTTTTGTCCTGTCCTGCAAGCGAGCATTCAGGGTCTCCCTCTGTCGCCTGGTGGGGGACACCCAGAGGACAGCAGTCAAGAGCAGAACAGTCAGTCAGATGCCTCAAAGGGGAAGGAGGCTGCACGGGAGAAAATCACAGTGTCACTTGTCATAAAGCTGCCCTGACCCTCAGCAGGACCCTGTCCATCAGGGCATCTGGCCTAGAGAAGGGCACATTGAGGGGAGCGGAGTGGTGAGCTGCACTGTCCCCTCAGCCCTCTTTCCCATCTTTGTTGGACTCACGACGGCCGAAGTTAAGGACTACATTGCCCAGCCTCCCTCGCAGCAAAGCCGGGCCCTGCATGACGGCTTTCCTGCTGACACGGGAGGGGAAAGGCTGAGTGCAGCTTCCATGTCATTTGATTAAAACTGGTTGTTTCCCTTGGACCTCCTCTCTTTTGCCTTCTGTGGATGAGCAGACAGGGAAAGCCACCAGCCTCAGCCATCCCTCTCAGAGCCCATGGAGCAACGAGATGGAAGGAGCCTGGGTCCCCGCTCCTGCCACCACCATGTACTGTCATACCAGACAGAAACAAACACGGTCTGACTGAGCCACTCTGTTCGGGGCCTTTTTGTCTCCGCAGTGTACCTGGAAGCCCGCTGACACAGGCAGGACCGCCGAGTCCCGCTCTCAGGCCCACTGGGTGTGGGAAGAACAGGGCTGGGTGAGCAGAGGGCACACGGGGCCCAGTGAGGAGGCCGGAGGACAGCTGAAGGAGGAACTCTCCTGGCCAGAGCTGAGAGGGGAGTGGGCGCCCTCAGCTGGTGGGTGGGCTCTCTGTCAGCAGAACTCTTAAAGCAGAAGATGAGCAATCGCCAGGCTGGGCAGCCCCAGGGAGGTTTCAGCTTCAGGTGCCACCCAGACAGGTGCTAATGGGAGGCAATGGTGCCCATGGCATCCAGGACGAGAATAAGAGCGGCACAGTAACGTCTAGGTTACAAAGAAGCCCCACCTTCCCCTGGAAAATGTCCACCTGCTCAGCGTGCTGGGTGACCGAGAGGGAGGGAGGCCACGGATGAGTCCGTTTTAATGGAGGCCCATACAGGGGGCCTGGGTGGGTGCCCTGGGGAAGGGAGCTGAGGGAGGCGGCTGGAACCCCGACACGCCGCGCTGCTGAGAGGGAGGTGGTGGGGGACCAGCAGACCAGCACTCTGGAGACTGCCTCCGACTCCTCTGGGACCCAGTGCTCCTTCCCTGGCCTGCGAGGCCTCAGCTTCCCCCGTAACACCGAGCGGCGGCCGTGTCTGCCTCGGCTTCTTTTCCTGAGGGGATCCCCCACCCCACCCGATCCCTCACCGTCAGAAAAGAGCCCCAGCCTACCCTGAATCAGGCCCTGCAGGCCAGCGGGAGAGCAGGCTCCGTCACCTGGGGGAACTGAGAAAATTGTTTCCGAAGCTGTACCCGCCAGCAGCTCCGGCCCCCAGGGCAGCCGCACCACCTCCACTGGCTGCAGGGAGACCGGAGCCTGAGGCAGCTGACGGCCGGCGGGGGCGGGGGAAGGGGATGAAAGTGGCCGGAAGCTGAGGGACAGGCAGCCCCTGTGAGCCCTTTAAGACCAGAGCTGTCTCCAACAGGAAAGCCAGCCCATGGGCTTCAGAACCCAGAAGTGCATTCGGCCCTCAGTTGCAAGCCAGGGACCCAAGTCCCTCAGTGGAGCCTCAGTTTCACCATCAGGAAAATGGGAGCAATGACCTGTCCAGGAGGGTCCCCCAGGAGCTAACTACGAGGAATAAAAGGAAGAGTCCGGCCAGGACTCGGGAGACTTGGGGTCCAATCCTACCCTCACCACACGGGCATCTCAGCACCTGCCAGGTGGCCCTTCCAGCAAACCGAACCTCTGGGAGCCTCGGTCCCCGCCCCTGTGGAGCGGATGGTAACCCTTAGCTGGCTCCCAGCCACAGGTGGAGGGGAACACCCTTAAGCCTTGCAATGTGGTGGGCAGAGGGGCAGGGCTGAGATAGCCACAGCGACAAGGAGGGGTGGCGAGAGGGACCCCCAGGGCGTCCTTGGGTCGGGGAAGGGACGAGGGTGTGGGCAGAGGCCCTGAGCCCACCCATCCCGTGCTGGTGACAGACCGCTCATGGCCGCTGGTCTGCAGGCTTGGCCGCCTCTGGAAACAGTCAGCTGGGCCCCGGCAGGCTGCAGCTGACAGCCCCATCGCCGCTGCAGCTGACAGCCCCATCGCCGGCTCCGCACCCAATCTGCCTGCAATCAGGCCCTGAATTATTTACTCTGTTGTTTGTTTAAAGATACGTGCCCTGCCAGTGACAGCGTGAAAAATGTCCCTGCTCCGCAGGAGTGACGCCTCCCTGCTCCTGCTCACACCCCTCCGTCGGGCCGTCCGGGGAATTAATCACCGGCTCCTGCCCGGACCTCAGGGCCCCTGCTGGCACCGAGCTGAGAGGCAGCGGGGCAAAGGGTGCGGGTTCTGGCCTCGCTGCAGGGAGGGGGGGCGGGCAGCTCTCATCCTTCCCTTGCAGGAAGCAGGGAGCTGGAAGCAGGTCTTCCCTTGCCACACCCTCCTCGTTGGAGGAAGGAGGGAGGAAGTGACTGTCCCGTCCCCAGGTGGCCAGGGAGCAGAGGCAGAGGTGTGATGGGAGCTCTCCGTGAGGCCCGCCTGCCCTCTGTGGCCCGTAGGATGTCACAGCACCGTGAGTGCCCAATCAGAGGGCTAAGCCCCCCCACTCCCAGGAGCCCCGAGCAGAGCCGGAGTGTGGGGCAGGGAGCGGGGAGGGTCCCTGCTCGGGACAGGAGGGCCAGCTGAGGGGGTGCAGTCGGGCAGACATGCAGAGGTGGGGAGCTCGGAGGACACTGCCCTCTCCTCTCCCTGAGGCCCCGGTGCCAGGAAAGGAGCCCAGGGCTGCAGGTGCAGAAACGCTGGCCTCTGGGAGGAGCAGGCTGGCAAGAACCAGCCATTTGTGTAGGTGGGGTGGCAACAAGCAGGGGGGCTTCAGAGCGGGGTACACTACTCCGCAGAGAACGGGGACCCCGGAGATAGGGAGGCCATATGAAGTGAGGGTCATGGGGCCAGGCAGCCACCACCGAGCTGTGTGCCTTCAGGAGAGTTACTCACCCTCTCTGAGCCTCAGCTGGGATCAAACCTCCAGCCCTTCCCAGGCCTCACAGGCTGCTGTGAAGTTCACAGTGAAAAACCCTGCATGGGCGTGGGCAGGGGTGTGGCCGGTGCTGAGAACGGAGGGACGACACTCCCCCCAGAGCCCGAGGCAGGGGCCCGTCAGAAGCCCAAACACGGGAGGGAAATCTGTTTCCCCTGATCTAGTCCGCCTCCCTCCTGCTGCTCCTGATGCTGTCCCCTTGGCCTCCCCGAGTACCCGAAGGAGGAGCAGAGGGCTCATGCCCGTCCCACCAGGTCCTGATGTCCCCCTGGACTCGAAGGGAGTGGAAGGCAGGAGCAGCCATTTCACAAGCAGCCAGGGGGGGAGCCAAGGTCTGCAGTGGGATGGGGTGACCACAGTGACCCCCGACCCCTACCCTGAAGCAAGGCCCATGGAGACAGTGGGAAGCGGGGACAGTGGGGGGTCAGGGCCCGCCCACCACCTGCTGGCGGTGTGACCTGGGTCACCCCTTGCCTTCCCATGCCTCTCTCCTCTCTGTATCACACAGATGACAAAACACCTCTTTCCACATCGCTGTGGGGACACTGGCACCGGACAGGTGTGGCATACAGGGTTCAAGAGATGGTCACCCTATTACTGGTCTCCCAGGGCCTAACCTGGCCCTCCCTGCCCTGCCTCTGGCCTTCTCCCACCTCGTCTCCTCACACAGGGACCAGGGAAGCTGGCGAAGAGGGTGCCCTGCTCCCTCCCAGGCACATGCCTTCACCAGCCTGAAGGACTGTCCCCCCCGCCCGCTCTTGGGCCTGTCCCCAGATGCCCCATTCTCTGCCGCCTTCCCTCCCCTGAACCCCTCAAAGGACCCTCTGCAGTGAGGTGCCCCGGACAACCCCCAGGCCACCCTGCTCCCTGAGAACTTTGGCCTCTGGTGGCCCCTGCCCACCCCACCCCTCACTCACCCATCAGGGCCCAGGGCCCCAGTCCCCACCTCTAGGGCCCTGCCAGGAGGTGGCGGGCTGGTGCCCGGGCCATGGCCCCCAGCTTCCCAGAGGGCCAGAGGCAGGGGCCTCTACACCACCTTCTCCTGAGGCACTGACGGTCACAGGGCAGAGCAATCGGGCCTCACACCACAGTCCCCATGGCCTCCCTCTGGAGGGCAGAGACCCCTGAAAGGGCAAGGACAGGGTGGGCATGGGCTCCCAGGACTGGCAGTTCAGGCAGAGGGCACTAACCTGCAGCCTGGGGTTCTCCTGGTGAGGGGCGAGGTGGGGGGCTGGCCTCTCCGGGAAGGGGCGGGGCCTGGGCAGGTGGGGGAAGAGGAAGGGGGAAGGGCTGGCCCGGCACTCACCGGGGGCCTCCAGGTTCTCACAGAGCTCGGACTTGGCCTCGCCGTTGGGCCGGAAGCCGGCCTTCTGCGTGAACTTGTTGGACATGGTGGCGGCGGTGACCACGGCCTTGAGGCTGCGCTTGCGCTTGGGCACGTTCTGCTCCGGGTGGAAGAGGATGATGTAGACCTTGGGCATGTAGAGCATCCCCAGCGACACCGAGGCGCTCAGGCTCACCGACACCGTCAGCGTGGTCGTCTGGATGTACAG